AAGGGAAAAGGTGGAGTGGGGGTGGTCTCAAGTGCCGCCTTACTTACTAATGACAGCTTAGAAAATTGTGGAATTTCAACGAAAATGCTGGCTTTATAAAACTATTTTTGTTATTCAATTTTGATGAAAAGCCAAAAAAGTTACCGGGTATTGCATCTTAACAATGATTTCATGCCTTGCTTGATTGCTAGAATGCAAAGAACAATATCCGGTAACATTTTTGGCTTTTCGTCGAAGTTGAATAATAAAAAAACCTTATAAACAATTAAAACCGGCATTTTCGTTGAAATTTCACAACTTTCTAAGCTGCCATTAATTATTAAATAAATTAATAAGTGGAACTTACCTATCTTGTAAAATAAAGGTCAAGCTTTAAAATGAGATGTCTTGCGTCTCAATCCGTTCAGTAGAACCAAATATGGTAAAGTTAGTGCGCGCGGAGACGGAAAATGTAAGAGATTTGCACTAAGTTTGCAATAACTTTGGTTAAAGTTAATTATTTTTTTAATTTTCAAAAAAATACATGTTTGTTATGAGAAAACGTAACTATTAGCGAATAAATTGTACTAGCTATAAAAATAAACATTTTACAGCCATTTAAACATTTAATTTGTTGATAACAATTAAACTGACCACTTTCAGGCTTTGCGACCAAGTTTTTTGGATTCAAGGGGTAAAATATTTAGGAATAAGTTGTTTGCAGCCGTGGCACTCTGGCTACGGAACCCTATCTGGCTCCTGGACTATATGGTGCACGTGCAAATTAAAAGTGGGCTAAAAGGTTACTGAACCACAGGTTAGCCTAGGTCGGAAACACGTACCAAGTTGTTTATTTTTCTCCGTCCCATTGTTTTTTATGGAATATATAAGTCTCTCTTCTATTACTTACAGTCAGTATTTAAATACTACATACATTTCATCCTCTCTTTATAATTTATCTAGTGAGTGTTGGTTTTTTATGTCATTATTTCTGTAATGAAATGGAAATGGTTATGAAATGAAATTTAAATTATTTGAACCCTTGGGGTTTTGTAATTTCAATATTAAATTTTATTTAAAGTGGAACAGCTAATTTCTTTGCAGCCATAATAGTCACATGTGGTCAGATGAAAACCCGCACACTACTCGTCGGTTTAGCTTTCAGAGGAGATTTCAGGTGTCAATGCCAATGGCGATCGTTTAATTGGGCCGCATTTTCTACCTGAACATCTGAATGGGCCGCGTTACTTTCAATTTTTAGTAGAATCGTTTGAAAACCTTCCCCTTCGGGCTTACAGCAAATGTTAAAATTATGTTACATTATGATGCTAATAAAAACTGATTTTTTGCAAGGCATGCTCAGACCTCCTCGAGGTTCTTGCTGGGCAACAATAACAATTTAATATGTTAATTGCATAAATAAAAAATAATTTATAGTATTTTAAATTATTATTGGCTGACGTAAGTAGGTAATGGGTCGTATTAGACCACCCGCACTCCTCCTTTCCCCTTCCCCCTCCCCTCCCCCGCCATCCAATCAGAGCGCAGCATTTTTGGCGGGAAAAATGGCGGGAAATTCAAAATGTAGTCGCCTAGGTCTTTGACCCCACATAGGGCTTTGCCCCCTAGGACCCCCACCTAAGGCTTTGCCCCCTTGGGCCCCCATGCAGATATCCCCACATAGGAGTTTGCCCCCCTAGGACCGCCACCTAAGGTTTTGCCCTCTAGGACCCCCACCTAAGGCTTAGTCCCCTAGGGCCCCCATGCAGGTATCCCCACATAGGGCTTTGCCCCCTAGGCCCCCCCCACCTAAAGCTTTGCCCCCTAGGAACCCACCTAAGGCTTTGCCCCCTAGGGCCCCCATGCAGGTATCCCCGCATAGGGCTTTGCCCCCTAGGACCCCCCCACCTAAGGCTTTGCCCCCTAGGACCCCCACCTAAGGCTTTGCCCCTAGGGCCCCCATGCAGGTATCCCCACATAGGGCTTTGCCCCTAGGACCCCCCCCACATAAGGCTTTACCCCCTAGGGCCCCCATGCAGGTATCCCCACATACGGCTTTGCCCCCTAGGACCCCCACCTAAGACTTTGCCCCCTAGGGCCCCCATGCAGGTATCCCCATGTAGGTTGCCTTGCGAGCGTAGGGCTTCGCCGCACCTAGGACTTTTCCCCCAGGACTTTGCCCCCATGGGGCCCCCACGCAGGTCACCCACGCCGTCCGCTAGGTCACCCCATGTCGGGGATACGCTGTCGCGTGTACCCCAACGTAGGTATGCCGGAGTTAGGCTCCCGCGAGGAGCTTCGCCCCAGGGCCCCACGCTTCGGTGTTGGAGCGCAGCAAACGCTTATCAGTAGTAGTAGTACTTGGCGTTATCAGTAAGGACACCGACACCACCTTAGTTTCCTAAAGAGCTAGCAAGGAACCACCTTGCGGTCTGCAGCGGATGTGACGTCACAAGATGGCGGCGGTCTGCGTGGAAGGTGATTGGTCGTTAGGGATAAGATGGCGGCGGTCTGCGTGGAAGGTGATTGGTCCTAAGGTCCCATGTATGTCTTTATCCCACATAGGCAGGCCTAGGGCTTCGCCCTCCCAGTCACGGGTCCCCATATAGGACTCTACACCCCCGCTAGGGCTCTGCCGCCGTCGTCATGGGCCCCATTAAGCGGGTGCCAGAGCAGCAGCGATTTCAATTTTAATTATTTTCCCTCATTTGCAAATTAGTTCAGAACGCGGACGAGCGCTTATCAGTAGATGGCGTAGCAAGTGGATCGCGCGGACATTGTCAATATAACAGGCTAATAACATCATCTAAGAAAAAATATACTCCAAGATAATTACTCAATACTTACAGGAATAATTCTATGCTATTATAAATGTATGAGTTAAATATAAACTAACTAGAGTAGCTACATGTGTTAAATGCTTTGTAACTTCTTAATACCGCCGTACCATGTTAAAGCCCATGTGAGTAGGATGACACTGTATAGTACGCTGCGTAGCTACTCATTATTTTACTTACTTTTATTTTATCAGCAATTAAATGGATATTAGTGAGTCGTTATAAATTCATTAAAATATACTTCAAGATCACCCGGTGGTCTGGTGGCTTCTGTACTCGCACAACTACAAATAATATTAGTGTTATCAAAAACACATTAGTGGAATATTACATTCAAAACCGTCTGACGTTTATCGTTCGAGGGTCACACGGTGTCAACGCGTTAATCTTAAACTCTTTAAGAAGAAATCCTATTAAAAACCATTAAAAGCATTAATCTTAAACTCTTTACGAAGAAATCCTATTAAAAATCATTTAAAGCATTAATATAAACTCTTTACGAAAAAAGAAAAAAAAATTATTTCTATAAGAAACTACATTAAAAACTTGGAACTATTCATAAAAATATCATATTATTTCAATTTCAAAATCCCATAAATTTAATTAAAAACTGGAAAAAAATAGCAAAAACTTATATTCGAAAAATAAATCATAAAATCAGATAAAAAAATCATATCGTTTCAATTTAAAACCCCATAAAAATAAATAATGCTAGAAACTTAGAACTTAACAAAAAAAAGACATACTAGAAAATTTAAAAACGGCCTAAAAATCAAAAACTAGATGTTTTTGATTTTTAATCAAAATAAATCGAAAAAAATCAATCAAAATTTCATATAAAATCCTATTAATTCAACAGAAAATTTATACGTAAAATAATTTATATATATTTATCATAAAATAATTACGGTTTGAGGTAATATCCACATAAAAAACTTACCAACTGAAACAAGGAAACGCCACAGAGCTCAGGGCTATAGGGTGGGGGCGGTTTTTTGATAGCCATAGGGGCCTCAATAACAACAGCAATAATTAGTTGGAAGCCCCAGCAACTCAATTCCACAAAAAATGTTCGCACGCATGCGCACAAACGAAAGCGTTATATATACATGCCCCTTGAAGGCGACGACCCTTATCTTATTAGGACTGGTATTACAGACGCCAAGGGCTGTACTCTCCCGCATGAAAGCGGTACCTGTCATGCTAACATGAGGAAGAAGTCGACCGCCAGCCCACGAGCCCCGCGAGTACCACACCTCCGTACACCTCAACAGATCAGCGAAGAATGAACGATTATAAAAGCTATTAAGATGCGCACCGTTACCACCACGCATATCACGTGTTTTCTACATCTTACGTGCTATCAACTCGTATGTGCTTCGATTTACATACAATCAAACAGGGAAACGTATCAAACTCCGTTGTTAGCCGGTTGTTAGCAGGTTTGGAGAATAAAAGATCGAAAGAACTTATGCGATATTTTGCATCGGAAAGTGAATTCTCCAGCGATGTTCCCTGACCCCTCCTACACGGTAAAAGGCAATAATAACCCCGTGTACAATACGATTATTTCTGGGACCTACTTACCCAAAGAGTTGTTCCTGGATATTGCTTGCTGGGTATCTCCGGAATTCTACATGAAATGCAGTAAAATAATTGAAGAATATTTCGTAAACGAATTCAAGACCAACTATCAACACGGTAATGAGGCTCTAATGTCCAAGCTGCATGAATTAAAAACCCGGAATGAGAAGTTGGAAAATTACGTAGAAGATATAAGTCCAAAGGTCGTTAACCCTAGCAAAAGGCATATGTTTGCTATAATACAGAAAAATCAATCAGCCGAGTATCCGTATTATATCATTAGAACACAGAAAAGACGTTTCCCGCAATCCTTGTAGTCCATGTGAAAGAACGTGAACAGTTTTCGGCGTTTTTCAGTAATGAAGCCTCAGAGAATTTATTTAAAAAATGCAAATGTAAAAATTACTGTGAAATGTATTGTAATGTTATGTACAGATATCCTTAACAAAAAAACTTGTAACATATGATCGTGTATAATTATTTCTAACCTTTGGACATGAGGAAAAATAAAACGCTGGTATGTAGAATATGTATTTATTTTCAAATAAGATTATGACAATACAGAGTGTTACACACACACAAGTCACATAGAAAAACAGGTTAAAGCTTAGGTCTTTTAAAACCGTAGGGCACTGAGCTGTGGTCGTCCAGGAACCATCTCTTTACGGAGAGAGGCTTATACAACTTGGTTTGCTGTACGGTTATCACCTCGTGCTCCTTGGTCCTCAAGATGTTTCTTGAGGCTACACATACCGGGCTGGTGGTGGAAGTATCCAACACCATATCTTTTATGGTGTTGAAATTTATCAGCTGTGATGCGGTATAGTTAAGGGATATACCTTTAACTTTACACACCACCTTCTCTTCGTTATCCCTGGTGGAGAAGACTTTGTACGCGTAGTTTTAAGGGCCTCCGCTTACAAACTCGGATATGTAACTTCCGGGTCCGTACCCTTCCAGCTCGTCGGTCATGTCGCCGAGGAATTCACCCGTTGGTACGTCGTACTCTCCGTCTTTAGCCACGTAAATGACAGAGTCTGTGTCATAGTACAGGACCCTGTCGCCCAGCTGTTCCAGGTAACTGTACAGCTTTAGGCGTGCTTGTGTGGTGACGTACGCTGCGATGACGCCATTTACGGTGATGAGTGGGTCATAGGCCTCCTCCTTGTGTTCCCAGTTAACGACGAGCGTGTCCTCGTTGATAGGGAGCGCCGAGTTAACGTAGATGCTGGGGTTTGTGAGCATACCGAAGAATTCTGAGGGGTTTCTTACTACGGATGTTTTGGGCTGGTTCTCCCTCTGTCCAAGTTTCCCCCAAAAGCTGTTCAAGATGAGTTTTGCGAGAGATCGGAGACCAGGGTTCTCAACGATCTCTGCAAACTTCAGCCTGACGTATCTCGCTGCAAGAACTGCTCTATGTAACGCTCCTTCTCCTCGTCTGTGGTATAATGGACGGGCCAACCGGACGCCTGCTGTTTCACGGAGATGAACTTGTTCATCATCCCTGTGAACAATCCTCCGATCCTTGCAGCCTTATCGTACTGCTGAACGTCATAGGCCCATATCTCATGGATCTCCAGCAGGCGATACCCTTTTTCAACGGCTTTTACAATTTCATCCGTCACCCATGTCCCCGTTAGAGCTCGCTCTACGTCGTTATGTCGACACTCGCTCGTGTTCATGTGTTCTCCGCAGGTGCGACAGAGAACAAACATGAGCTTGTTGTTCATCTTGGTAGGGAGCACTGGGTGGTAGAAATTCTGGGGCGGTAGGATCTTACATTTAACAACCCCGTTTACATTATGAAGATCTGTAGGGCATTCTTCACCCACATAAATTTTAGGGTGGCCTACGGGGAACTTGCCGTATTTGCAGACCCAGGGGTAAAGGGAGCAGACATCGACGTATTTGATTTTTTCGCCTGGGCCGCACTTGTAGTATTCGACTGTGTTCCATGTGCGGCCTCCGTAGAAAGCATCTCTGGGATTTAGCGGCGTTAGGGTTACGAGCGGGTGGTTTTCAGTGTAGGTGCGGACTTCATCGTTCTTATGAAGATCCCGCCTAAACCCACATTCCCACATCTCAACGACCTCATAACCAAGGTCTCGAAGTCTTTGCATCTTTGCAAGGGTGGCTTCGTGTCGGGTGTTTAATGTCTGGGAGGGGTCTTCGGGCATAGGAGCGTCTCTATTACATTTGAAGCAGGTGGGGCAGCCGTGGAAGTAGCAGCCGTTAAACTCAAACACCTGATTGGTTTCTGCGGCATACCCATCGACTTTTACACCCGCGACTCGAGATTCTTGCTGTTTAGCAGCGTGTTGGATGTTTTTGCCTCTGGTGTGTTCCTCCCACACTAACCACTGGATGGCTATCTTGCTTTGGTTGTCCCGCCATCTGTAGCCGCCTTTGGGGATGATGCCGATGGTGTTTGGCTTGAGGAAGTTGCGCCTGTACACCTTATTGCATGCGGAGGCTATCGTACATGCTTCCGTGTACGGGCAGACGTTTCCTGTTTCCATCAGCTGTTCCCGGAACTTGAGACATGCAGCCGTTAAAATTTCAACATCAGAAATACAATATTCGACGAGGTCCCTCCGCATGTTAAACTCGTCGTCCTTGTGTTCCTCGTGCCACTCGAGGAACTTGGAGTGATCTTCTGGTTTCATGTTGTCGGGGTCATAGTATTCGGCGACTGGTAGAGGGCCTACATAATTTTGATTTTCTGCGGTGTTGAAAAGATGGGGGAAATAGCCTTTTTTTAAATTATTGCCCAAGCCGAAAGCCTTGGGCAACCTGGACAGCGCCATGGGAAAGTAGTTGAGACTATCCAGGAACTTTACGTTCCCCACCACCATGGAAATTATTTTCGTCCCTCGCATGATGAGTTCCGGGGTGAGGTCGGTTTTGGTAAGGATGTAATTGAGACAGAACTGATGGTCGAAGGCCTGTCCGTTGTGTGCGACGACCACCACCTGCTTGAATTTCTCCCTCATGGTCATGAGGTGGCGGAGGAACGGCGAAATAGGGTCGTTACACTGCAATATTTGCAGTCTAACCCCGCATTTACTGCAGATTTTCTGCTGCGGCGTGTTCAGGCACGCGTCGCAGCACTGCTTGAAGACACAGAGGTTAGGCTCATGCAGGAGGGACCCGTCCGACCTCGCCTTCTCTTGCTGCGTCTCCAAGTCGTAGAAGACGAAGAGAAGGTCATCTGTCTTCGGCTTCCCTGTATTAGGCTGCATATAACATAGGTGGTCTGCGAAGACGTGGGCATTGCATATCTTGCAATATATCTCCCCGCAGATATGGGTTCTGCCCCTTTTTACCACCTTGAGACAGTCGGGGCAACGGCGAATTTGAGCACAGATATTTGTCAAGTGGTTATCGTAGCATTGCTGCCCTCTGCAGCTACGCTGACAATCGGTACAGTTTACTGCGATGTCTTCTTGGCATGCGGGCGACTTCTGGCACGCAGGACAAGTACCTCCACACCTATGATCGTTTTTATTATTATATGGCACCTGGCACCTCTCGCAATAGTAAATGCAACGGAAGGCCGCCGTTAGTGACGTGATGACGTTATAGTGGCCTTCGTGATAAATCAAATTTAACGAGGTGCCCTCTGTGCAGCCCTTAAATATCGCGTCGCGGCCTTTGCTGCCGTACTGGTACACGACGATGCGGTAGTTGGTGAGATACCGCTGGAATTCCTGCAGCTCAAGGATACCGCAACCTTCTTCGGGAATGGTAACCCCCGGCACCCGTATCAGGTCTTGAGCTCTTTGTGTCTGTATCTTTCCGATATCTCTGCGCACCTTTCTATACTCGGCGTCCTTGGTCACTTGTGCAATAGCGACGACGAGGGCCCGCGGCAAGCACAAATTGTCTTTATTGTCTATTTTCATAATTCCTTTCCTTAAAGCACACTCCTCGTCGAAGGTGTTGTACAGCCGCCCCCTATCGTTTCCTTTCCCTGCGGGCATCTTCACTGAGGTTACCCCCAGACAGAACGTCTCGGTGTTTAGCCCCGCAGAGTTGGATTGGTAGACGCTGGAGATCACGCCCCACACGTCGTCATAGGTAACCTCTCCAGCCGGCTTGAAGCGGACCCAACCATCACCTCTGACGAAATCCCTGGAGCAAAACGAAAAAGACACCTGGTCTTCGGGGTTAAGACCTTCGGCGCCTTTAGCTATGGCCTGCTGGATTGCCTCTTTAACCCACCCTACGGGTTCTTCGCCGACGGGGACTGGCTTGATTTTAAATTCTAGGGTCCGCCCCACCAAGTTGAAGCGGCGGACCTTCTTCACGGCATCTCTAATTATGAAAAATTTAGACATCTTGCAGTGGTGATAGTCTGAAAGATACCAAATCTGATAAAATGTTTCCTGACGAAAGTAATTTGAAAAACTTACAAGTTGGTTGAATAGCGTCGAGCGCGAGAAGAAAACTAACTAACTGTGATCTTAACACTTCAAAGATTGAAGATAGACTGGCTAGAAGGCCGCAGAAGACGCGTAGTTATTACCTTTCAGGTAACTAGTATCGGTGAGATATGATTTTAACGCCTGAAAAGTGATCATGTGATTAAAATGTGTTTGATTAAAAAAATAGGACGTATATTCTCTCAAAAATTTCAAAGTACAAGAGAAAATAAAAAATTTTGAAAGTGAGTAAAACGAAAAGATAGTGAGCGCTTTCTACCTACTGGGCAAGCATATCATCGATCGCGAACAAATGAAAAAAATCGATGAAACCCACTATCTTATTGCATGACGTTTAATTTGATATGCGACACGCCATATTTAAAAAAAAAACTCACTTTTATTGAAGACGTTTCAACACCTTTTTAAAAACTGATAATTTCAAATATGATAACAGCGCGGAGATAAGACTCAAGACAGCGTACTGATACGAAAGGAAAGACCAGATATACCGACGTATCCGGCTTTTATACTCCGCTGATAATCTCGAAACCTTCTCCTAATCTCGAACCTGTCCCTAACGGTCGATATCTAAAAGGCCTCTTAAAGTTTATGATTTGTGCGTCTTTGCCATTAGAATCAGTGTTAATTTACGATATTTGGCAAAGTGAAACGTTTTCCCCATTAAAATGTATTTAAGTCGTGACACACTTGATAATTACGTCCACGCGCTTACTCTGAGCTCGTCGAACAACTGCTAACCGATAACAAAAAGGACCCCTGATATCCGCGATTTGTGCGTTACGACCATAAGAATCAATGCTAATTTTAGGATTCCGCCTAGTTTGATACGCATTTGCATGCATGTAAATCGAAGCAGATACGAGTTGATAGCACGTAAGATGTAGGAAACACGTGATATGCGTGGTGGTAGCGGTGCGCATCTTAAGCTTAATAGCTTTTATAATCGTTCATTCTTCGCTGATCTGTTGAGGTGTACGGAGGTGTGGTGCTCGCGGGGGCTCGTGGGCTGGCGGTCGACTTTCTTCCTCACGTTAGCGTGACAGGTACCGCTTTCATGCGGGAGAGTACAGCCCTTGGCGTCTGTAATACCAGTCCTAATAAGATAAGGGTCGTCGCCTTCAAGGGGCATGTATAGATAACGCTTTCATTTGTGCGCATGCGTGCGAACATTTTTTGTGGAATTGAGGCTTCCAACTAATTATTGCTGTTGTTGTTGAGGCCCCTATGACTATCAAAGAACCGCCCCCACCCTATAGCCCTGCGCTCTGTGGCGTTTCCTTGTTTCAATTGGTAAGTTTTGTATGTGGATATTACCTCAAACCGTAATTATTTTGTGATAAATATATATAAATTATTTTACGTATAAATTTTCTGTTGAATGAATAGGATTTTATATGAAATTTTGATTGATTTTTATTAAATTTATTTTCAGTTCGAAATTTTGATTGATTTTTTTCGATTTATTTTCGGTTAGAAGTTTTTGATTTTTAGGCCGTTTTTAAATTTTCTAGTATGTCTTTTTTTTTGTTAAGTTCTAAGTTTCTAGCATTATTTATTTTTATGGGGTCTTAAATTGAAACGATATGAATTTTTTTATCTGATTTTATGATTCATTTTTCGAATATAAGTTTTTGCTATTTTTTTCCAATTTTTAATTAAATTTATGGGATTTTGAAATTGAAATAATATGATATTTTTATGAATAGTTCCAAGTTTTTAATGTAGTTTCTTATAGAAATAATTTTTTTGTCTTTTTTCGTAAAGAGTTTATATTAATGCTTTAAATGATTTTTAATAGGATTTCTTCGTAAAGAGTTTAAGATTAATGCCTTTAATGGTTTTTAATAGGATTTCTTCTTAAAGAGTTTAAGATTAATGCTTTAAATGATTTTCAATAACAGAGAGCAATAAACAACGAAAGGATTTATAAAATAATTTAAATTATTACTTACTTAATAATTCAGATCGTAGCAGCACTGCACTAATACCAACTTCTGATGTGTGTAGGTAGTATGATTCTAAATCGGAAGCTCGCGTCTTTTTATATCCAAAATGCGGTTCCGTGACGCATTAATGTGACGTGAACAATTAGCTACCAAACGGCTTTGGATTTAATTTAATATTCCACTAATGTATTTTTGATAAAACTAATTATCTGTACTTATGTGGATAAATTATAAGTCGCCGGGCCACCTCGACAACAGGTTCAGATTTTGCTTGGGGCCTTTCCGCCACGCGTTGACAACGTGTGACCCTCGAACTATAAACGTCAGACTGTTTTGAATGTAATATTCCACTAATGTGTTTTTGATAACACTAATATTATTTGTAGTTGTGCGAGTACAGAAGCCACCAGACCACCGGGTGATCTTGAAGTATATTTTAATGAATTTATAACGACTCACTAATATCCATTTAATTGCTGATAAAATAAAAGTAATTAAAATAATGAGTAGCTACGCAGCGTACTATACAGTGTCATCCTACTCACATGGGCTTTAACATGGTACGGCGGTATTAAGAAGTTACAAAGCATTTAACACATGTAGCTACTCTAGTTAGTTTATATTTAACTCATACATTTATAATAGCATAGAATTATTCCAGTAAGTATTGAGTAATTATCTTGGAGTATATTTTTTCTTAGATGATGTTATTAGCCTGTTATATTGACAATGTCCGCGCGATCCACTTGCTACGCCATCTACTGATAAGCGCTCGTCCGCGTTCTGAACTAATTTGCAAATGGGGGAAAATAATTAAAATTGAAATCGCTGCTGCTCTGGCACCCGCTTAATGGGGCCCATGACGACGGCGGCAGAGCCCTAGCGGGGGTGTAGAGTCCTATATGGGGACCCGTGACTGGGAGGGCGAAGCCCTAGGCCTACCTATGTGGGATAAAGACATACATGGGACCTTAGGACCAATCACCTTCCACGCAGACCGCAACCATCTTATCCCTAACGACCAATCACCTTCCACGCAGACCGCCGCCATCTTATCCCTAACGACCAATCACCTTCCACGCAGACCGCCGCCATCTTGTGACGTCACATCCGCTGCAGACCGCAAGGTGGTTCCTTGCTAGCTCTTTAGGAAACTAAGGTGGTGCCGGTGTACTTACTGATAACGCCAAGTACTGCTACTACTACTGATAAGCGTTTGCTGCGCTCCAACACCGAAGCGTGGGGCCCTGGGGCGAAGCTCCTCGCGGGAGCCTATCTCCGTCATACCTACGTTGGGGTACACGCGACAGCGTATCCCCGACATGGGGTGACCTTCGCGGACGGCGTGGGTGACCTGCGTGGGGGCCCCATGGGGGAAAAGTCCTAGGTGCGGCGAAGCCCTACGCTCGAAAGGCAACCTACCTGGGGATACCTGCATGGGGGCCCTAGGGGGCAAAGCCTTAGGTGGGGGTCCTAGGGGGCAAAGCCTTAGGTGGGGGATCCTAGGGGGCAAAGATGTGGGGATACCTGCATGGGGGCCCTAGGGGGTAAAGCCTTAAGTGGGGTCCTAGGGGGCAAAGCCTTAGGTGGGCGTCCTAGGGGCAAAGCCCTATGTGGGGATACATGCATGGGGGCCCTAGGGGGCACAGCCTTAGGTGGGGGTCCTAGGGGGCAAAGCCTTAGGTGGGGGGTCCTAGGGGGCAAAGCCCTATGTGAGGTTACCTGCATGGGGGCCCTAGGGGGCAAAGCCGTAGGTGGGGGGGTCCTAGGGGGCAAAGCCTTAGGTGGGGGTCCTAGGGGGCAAAGCCTTAGGTGGGGGGGTCCTAGGGGGCAAAGCCCTATGTGGGGATACCTGCATGGGGGCCCTAGGGGGCAAAGCCTTAGGTGGGGTCCTAGGGGGCAAAGCCCTATGTGGGGATACCTGCATGGGGGCAAAGCCCTATGTGGGGATACCTGCATGGGGGCCCTAGGGGGCAAAGCCTTAGGTGGGGTCCGGGGGCAAAGCCCTATGTGGGGATACCTGCATGGGGGCCCTAGGGGGCAAAGCCTTAGGTGGGGGCTTAGGGGGCAAAGCCCTATGTGGGGTCAAAGACCTAGGCGACTACATTTTTAATTTCCCGCCATTTTTCCCGCAAAAATGCTGCGCTCTGATTGGCTGGCGGGGAAGGGGAGGGGGAAGGGGAAAGGAGGTGGAGTGGGGGTGGTCTAAACCGACCCATTACCTACTGACGTAAGCAAACCGTTTATTTATTGTCTTTATATGAGCGAAAATATATAAATATGACAACGTTGCATCTAGGGCGCGTTGTTCATATCGTAGCCGTGCATAATATTGTGAATAACCGGCTGACGTCAGCCGGTCAGTAACAGCCTGAAAAGGGGGTTAAATAATGATTTGAAAATATGATTTTTCAGCTTTAATATGCATTTAAAATTTTTTTAATCACGCCATCGTATTATACTCATTTTTTTCTATCTGCTCTTAAAATTAATGACATTATGACTGAATCACCCTGTATAATATTTCTATTTGAAACTTGCGTGTGATAAATTTCATGTATCTGTTTTAAATTTTCTTTAATTTAGAAATATTTCATATTTAATGGAACCAATTTGTTTAATTTTTAGAAACTTTCTTCTGTAAATTTACCCACATTTTACAGTATAAAGTAATTTAAAATATAGCACTTATACCGTCATATTTTTCATCAATTTTACTAGACAACCATCGAATCGCAAACGGAGAAATGGGGGTGGTGGTAAACATCACTACATAATAATTTCTTGCACACACTTATATTTGAGAAGTACTGTTTCTTTTTTAGATAAGATGGTTATGGTCCTCATCTTTTCTCTCCTAATTTAGGGATTCGTTTCCGAAATTATAGAAATGTGATATGAATCCTCAGTTTGCATTAGAATAGACTTAGAATTTATAGTTCTTAATATACAGTAACAGGGACTGTGTAAGGCATTGTTATATCTTAATTTACTAAAGAAATAATAAGTTCTAACTTGTTTTAGGAGCGCTTAAAGAACCACTCTATATCTATCATCTTCGCAAGTACATAATCACGGTCTTTCAGTGAGAGAGAACAACTGAATATGCTAAAAAATCTGTGGTTCCAGCCTGCTACAATTCGTTCTCGTAAATGTTGATGATTTAGTATGGCAAACTTATACACAAAATCTATCATAAATCCCCAGAAATAAAAGTATACCAGGTTGTAGTCGGGGAACGACTTTGCTAATGAAGAGGTGTATCTTGACCCCTGCCAATACAGCGCTTAAGAAATATTTCGTTTAAATGGTTTTGAACATTTGGCCATAGTGCGGTGGTATACCATCAAACTGAAAGCACATATTTTCGACTACAAAGGATACGCTCATCAAGAAGATGAGGAAACATTGTTTTGTAAAAAAACAAATCCTAAGCATTGAATCGACCTAAAAGAAAAAATCAATCACGCATACAGTGACTTTAAAATTCTCTTAATCATGTATTTTTATAATGCTACATCATCAGCCTATAACTGGCTATTATGAATATTAGTCACTTTGTTATGCTTAACTGTTCCCTTATCAAAAAATTAAAGAGATCTTATAAAAAGATGTTCTCTGTTCTTAGCATATTGAGTTGCAAAAAAATTACCATACTTCAAAATCCTAAGAAACTTCTGCACATTTTGCGCATGATACGATATAATCGTCATATGTTTTTGTTTTTCTTAAGCGATGAATTAAGCTTAAGAAAATACTCTTTTTAGATGATACCGATTCTCTTAACTGCTAAGCTAATATTGGAGTCACATTTTCCTGTAATTATTATTTATTAATAACATTAAAATATTATTAGTAGGTTTGTTACCTACCTATTATTAACAGGATATCTGTCTTTTCAGAAAATGATAACAATTCCACATAATTTGCCATTTCTTGTTTTAATGTCTCGAGATTAAATTTGACAAGTACAGATCTACTTTTTTGAGTCTATCTAAATTAAAAATCTAAATGTTATATACGTACACACAATATTAATTTTTAAGAAGTCTCGTAATTCAGTGCACATTTAATTTTATTGTTATGTGGAAACGTAGTACCATCTACAGGCACAAATGATTATCTACAACAAAAAATTGACTCTGCGTATGATAATAAAATATAGCCTATTGAAAATGCTAATCAAAAATATAGAAAGTGTTTAGAAGATTCTTTAACTGGACTAAATTACCTATTTGCCTAATAAAATTACCTCAAAAGTTAATATTTATGATATATTGATCATCCAACTTCAACACTTCATTACAAAATTGAACCTGTTTGCGACATCCATGGTTTATCCAGCTAGAAATGATGGATCCAACTTGTTTGATTCCTGCTGCCTTTACCAGACTAATGATTTACCAAAACTCTGTTAATAAGACTTTGCTTAGATAGCAGCTGACTCATACAACCCGATAACTTGTTTCTCTTGCCACAAGTTTCCTAATTCACAAGAGTAATAGTTGTAGGTATAGATAAAAGAATTTTTCTTTATTAATGAAGTACAAAGAGAAAATTTATACAGCTGCTAAATTCTCATGGTTAAGAAAATGAAGTGATTCTTTTAGATAAAATTCTTCAGTTTTTAAATTGCTCTCTGAAAAGTATGGACTTTAATTAATATTTTTGAAAATAAGAAAGCTAAAAAAAGAAGTATACAAAAAAAATGGGGTATACTATTATAGAAAGAATTTTTAATTTCTGCACCACTGGATTTGAAAAAAAAACGGCTTCAGCCAATAAACCAAACCAGTTATAGCATACACGGAGATATGTCAAATCAGCTTTACACTGCATACAACAATATCAAATTCACTATGAAATGTAGTAAAATATATCAAATCACATACAAATTAAATAAAAAAAACAGAAAATATAAATCAAAATTACGTAGGAAACTTTTAAAAATTGTGAGCACCTCATTAATCATTAAATATATGGAAATACCGGGAACACTTCAAAATATCTCGAAAACCTACCAACTTATTTAATTACATAGAAAGGATAAGGACCTCAGTGTAAAATTTTATATACCCCGAATCCCAAAAATGAAAGACCCCGGAGGGTAAAGATTAATGACCCTACGAGCAGATATCAATGAACCCGGGTGACCAAGATTCTCCGGTGATCAAGACTCATTGACCCAAGGAGATCAAGGGAATGGATTTTACTCTTGTCATTGATCTTGGCTTTTTTGGTTATTTACATGAACAATTTTCGATTTCGAAATATTTACAGGTATTTTAAAGTGTTTTGTCTTTTCGAGGGAGATGACTGAGGTATTTTGAATTTTGAAGTTACTGAAGGAATTTTTATATTTAATTTTTTTATAGCCAAATACCCAAAAAATAAATAAAAATACATTATTTTTATTTATTTATTTATTTATTTATTTATTTATTTATTTATTTAATTTATTATCCACAAATCAACCTCAATTACAGAATAGGAATAACATTAATAGTACAACTTATAATTAACTTATATTAGTGATAAATACATTCTAACTGTTGGAGTATAAAAATGAGGCGTGATGCAAATCTGTATGCATAAAAATTGAACAAATTAAAAAAGTGCAATCAACAATATTATGAAAAATTTAATAAAACGAGTCAAAATCTTAATTTCAGGTAAACCAACAGCAAGAAAAACATCAAGTGTTTTATAGACAATGATTTTTAAGAAAACCTCTTTGAATCTTGAGTTTTTAGTATATTTCCTTAAATTCGTATGCGTTAAAATGGTATGCGTTAACTATTATCGAAATAAATGAAATAGATCCCTGAGTTTGGAAACGATATTAAGAAAACGTAGGGACAAAAAAATTTGAAATTTTGACCATATATAGCCTCCCTATTACTCTATTGTGCCTTCATCATCATTCATCGTCATCATCTGTATCTTCATAGTCATTCACATTTATTAGTAAACAATTTATAGCGATATCTAGTGAATCTTTTTTTTACCTGCTCCACTTTTTTAGAGTGTTCGACACAGTTGGGCCAAACAGAATTTGTTATACTTTCGATCGCTGATTTACAAAGATTCAGGGCATCCTTTATTTTAAATGTAGAATTCTGTTTAACCACGTAATTATTAACATAAGCCCAAATTAATTAAATGGGATTGAATTCACAATGCGCTACAGGAAGCCATAGGATTTCCACCTGGTTTTCCCGAAAATCTTTTATAATTTTCTCAAGCAAATACTTTTTCGGAAAAACGATGTTGCTGAGCTAATACCAGAAGCACAGGACCTTCCTTCCACAGGACCTAATGGGACCTTCTTCTTTGTTAACTATTATACCTATCATTTTTTCTCTATGAAGCAGTTGGATAGCGAAATTCTGGATCCAACATTTTGTGGTAAGGTGTTTGATCGAGGATAATTACAGATTTATCAGGAATTAATGCAAAGAAAAATCTGAACCATTCCTCGAAATGCTGCTTTTTCATTTCATCATGGTAATCAACTGATCCCTTTTTGCTAATAAAGCACTTCATGCAACCTTCCAGAAAACCATCTTCATTACCAATGTGTTCGAGTAGTCACTATATTATATTGTTCCATTCGGTTTACTATCAAATTTCCGAAAACGAAAGTACATTTCTTTAACCCAACGATTTCATGTGGGAGATCATTCTTCAATCTTTGATAGTTCTGCTATTGTTGGAAATGCTTTTCTGTATAAAAATGCAAGATTTGTCGTCGGATTACTCCCTTCATGAAATCATCAATTTCTTTTTTTTTAGTGCCGGCACCTTTTCATTTAGAAATAGTGCTTTCTTTAATGTTTAAACCCCCTGCAGTACGTTTTGTCACTTGCCGCAGTTGAATTTCACATAAACCGTTAATTCTTTCAGCTTCAAAGTAATCTTTTACTTATAGAAAAATTTCGGAAGTTCTTCATATGTCCTCTTAGCAGCAAGTCCACTAAAGTGTTCCTGTACATGTACCACTATCATGTCTCTCATTTCATAATTCGTAAATTCATTGTGACGATGCATTTTTAGAAACAAAATACGAACTTGACAATGACTCTTCGAAATTATTGTCGTGTTGTTAGAGAT